AAATAAAGTGAGGGGGGGGGGCACCAGCCATGACGAGGGCACCAGCGGGAGCCAGGAAAGAGGCGCCAGCGGTGACGGGAGGGGGGTTGCCGCCAGTGGCAGTAGAGTTGCCAGTGTGGGCAGCAGAGGTGGGAGCCAGAGTGGTGGCAGGGGCAGAGGTCTGTCCACCAGTTGGGGCAGCAGTTGTGGACGCGGCAGCAGAGGTCTGCGAAGCGCCGCCAGTCTTGGTACCGGAGCCGCCAGAGCCGCCAGAGTTCTTGCAGTTGGACTCGGAGAAGTCGTCCTGAGCCTGGTTTAGGACCTTAGTCAGTCCGTCGGCGAGCTGCTGGGCAATGCTCTGGGCATCCTGGGGGACCTTGCTAACAACCGCCTTGATGAGAGCCTTGGAGTTGCTGTTGATGTCATCGAGCTCAGAGCGGACGGTGTCGCAAGCGCCAGCCTTCTCGACGTCAGAGCGTTTGGCCTTGAAATCGTCGGCCAGGTTCTGACCCTTCTTGGTCAAGGCCTGGACGGGGTCGGTCAAGCCCAGAGCGTCGGTGAGGGTGAGGTCGCTGGAGCCATCAACCTTGCTCTTGCCGTTCTTGATGGCAGAGTTGAGAGCGTCACCCTTGGACTTGACGCTATCAACATCTCCATTGAAACCCTTGGCAGCGGCGTCAAGATTATCAATGGCACCTCCGACAGACGTGAGGACAGACTTGATGGTGCTGATCTGGGCGTAGGTACCAGTGGCGACAGCCAAGACAACAGCGTTGGAGAACTTCATTTTGTCGGTTCAAGAATGAGTAGACTTCTTGTTATGAGAACGAGTGTAAGTCGACCGGGACAGAAACGATTGTGGTTTTGTTACGGCTGAAAACAGAAAGGCAGGTTGGAGGGAAGAAGCCCAGATCGTTATGGGAGGAAGGGGAGTGCGAGTTTATACCTTTTTCCCCATCCCCTAATGCGTGCCGCGCCTCTTTAGGAGAACTTCACAAGCTCCACGATGAATGCTGAATCCCATGTGTTCCAGGTGCGGCCCTGCCGAGGCTCCCGCCTGGAACCGTGACAATAACAAGGACTTGTCTGGGCAACCTTGAGGAAAGGGGCGCTCTAACCCATGTAGGTCCAGTGTCCAGCAACCTAACCCAAGGAAGGCTCTTGAGAGAAGGTTTATGGGGAGCCAAATCAAGTATTGCAACTATGCATGTACATGCTACTGTACACCCCATCCACCCCATCCCACGATACAGAGCACGGAATAGTAGAGTATAAAACCCACCCCCAGGTAGCCCACTTCTTGTTCCGCGGGTGGGGTGGAGATGGTGTGTGTGGATACTATAGCATCACGATAGCATCACGACTCCTTCAACAATACGGAGTACCTACCACGTTAATGCACAGTGCCCAAGTTGGCACAAGGAGGGAGGGGGATCACGACACCGGATGGGCCAGATCCTCCATATCATGGCTCAACAGCTTGTGTCCAATGCGGGACCACGCGCGAAGAGCTGTGGGAGCAAGAGATGTCTTCGAATCGACGTCCACTATGCACCCGGGTTGCTGGCAATATTGATACGGGCCATATTGCTTGGGCCCGGATGGCGGCAAAGAAATCTCACTGGAAATGTCTTGGTAGCACAATCAGTTGCACAGGGGTGGACCCTGTTCTCGAGCGGCTTGCATGTATGCATTACTGGTGCAGGTGAACATAGAGAGCGAAGCAAGCATAGCCCAATTGAGTCCGCCAGTCTGCCGCCAAGCAGGCCATGTATTGATCCCCTACAAGCCAACCGCCCTGGTAGCTAGGCACGTAGTTCAATATTGCCACGGCTCGTAAACTGTCTCTTCATCTGGGGCAACCGGCCGATGCAGCTGCGAAATGCAAATGCAAGGCGTGCTCAAGGAACCCGTACCCCTGGCTATCCGGCAAACCTGGCTATTTTCAGTGACGGCTTGATGTGGACGGTTAGGATGGTGGATTCCTACCTTGGGTTTACATCTTGTCTAATTAAAAGGCTTGTGCTTGTTCTTTGTGGCGGTAATGTGTAACAAGTTTACGATTTGGCCTTGATTAGCGATGAGAGATATCCATAGTTGAAGGTACATGAAAGTGGGAGAGACATACCACATGGGATTGCAGACTGCCACAAGCGAAGAAGATTTCAGTTGCACATGAGCCACTATGTGCACGGAGTAGAACCGTACGTTACAACGTGTTTGGAGTACACCATCAATGGCTGTGACTTAGTACCTGGACACAGGCCGCCTTAATTCTCAAGATGTAAACCCACGTAAACATAAGAGCGGACAACTTTGTGTCTTTATGGCAATACAGCCACTACACACGCGGTGCATGCATCGTGAACGTAATGGTGCATATCCAACCACTTCCGGGAAGCTACTTCGCTGGCGTAGCTATTGCTCAAGTGGCTGGTCTCAACAGGCGCTGTGCTGTGCTGTGCTATGCTGTGCTGTGCATGTGGACGATGGGCCCGAGGCTGTCATGTCATATTCCACCGTCGATCGATTGCCCCAGGTCCAAGTTCGGCCGCAGTCAGCATTTTTCATCCACAGAACCATCCCCCTGACCCTTGACCTCGTCTCGCTTTCTAGTCCATGGATGTCCATTTTTGGCATCTGGTCCGGGGCGATCCACCAAGGACAAAAGGCCGGCAGCCCTGGCTTGGTAAAAAAAAAATTGTCCTGTCCAAGTGCGTCCAGACCGCCACCCCAGCCATTATCCCTGTTTACCTGTCAGCCCCCGCATTCTCCGATGACTTGACGATTACGGAGTAGTACTGCGGCAGCTCTGATTTGGTCGTTGCGTCTTCTGGACCTTGGTTTGACAGTGTCAGGAGATCCACTAGCATCGAAACCTAACCCTGCCCAGACGGGGCACAGACGGGGACAAAAGACGGCGAAGAAGTAGAAGGAAGAGAAATGGTAGCATTGGGCGAGGGCAGGGAAAGGGGTTGAACAAGGCTGGCCACTGGCACAATGCCCTGAATGAACTTTATTGGGCGTGTGGTGACGGAGACGGCTGAAGATGAGCAGGCACAGCTTCCGAGAATCGACAAGTCTTGTACGCCCAGGTTTTGTTTTGCGGGGGATGGCGTCGAGTCGATGAGTGGTTGAAGATGAAATGGGTGGGCGAGAAGCTCGGTTGGTTGCGCGGCCAAGTGGGGCGGTCATGATAGACGGCCAGAAGCCTTCCAAGTTCCTCCTCGATTCTATTCAACGAGTCCATCTATTGGGAGCTGTATGCATGAGCGCTGTAACCCACATCACCCCATAACATGATAGACACACATCCAGGCTGCTACACCCTCGTATGTAATTTACGTGTGATTAAATGGAAATCGTGATATATTATTATTTTCGCGTTTTTTTCGCGTTAGGTTATAATCTAATTAAGGGTATTATAATATACGGGATTTTTAGTAGCGTATAATAAGGTAATTATAATAAATTTTTCTCTCCTTTAATATTATTAATTATATTATTAAATTTATTAATACAATTAATTAAGCTCTTAAACACCTTTATTACAGCTATTTCTACTATTTTTTAATTATTAAAATAGCTGCTTTTATCCCTTCTATTAATTATTATAATAATTCTATTATACTAAGTAGCGAGGCTTATAATATCTAGTAAGAAGCGTATTATAAGGGTTTACGTATCGCACGCCTTCTATTATCTATAACCTTTAACTCGTTTTACGAGATTTATGCCTTTTTATAGTAATTTAGTATTAAAAATGGAATAGGCCTTATAAAAAATCTAGTAGCAATTATCGTAAGCTACTTAAAGGCTACTAGCTCTCGTACATTTTATTTATGTATAATTAAGGCCCTTATAAGCCTTTAATATTACTAGGGCTTTAAAGAGGGATTTTAATAAGGTAGGTTAATTACTCGTTTTAATTATAAGTATTCTATCACGTAAATATAAACTTTACTTAAACTTATTAGATTATTAATTCCACGTATAATTATAGTTAATCTCTTAGGTTATAAGTACATTTAATCTATTATTACCGCACGCTATAATAGTTAAGCCTACTATTAAAAATCACCTAATTTAACGCTATAACTACCTATAAGGCTATTAACTTTTTACGCCTTTAAAGCTTAAAAACCTCTTATTTTATACCTTAAAATATTATTAATAACTATTTTTAACTTTATTAAGAGCTTTTTAAAGGTTATAATAGCTTATAAGCCTTTATTATAGCTTTTAAAGCTAAAAATCTATCTTATAGGTTTAAATATTATAAGAGCTAGCTTTAAGCTATAGTTTAAACCTTTAATAAATACCTTAAGAGATAAAAGCATTTTCTTAATATTTTAAAGATAAATAACACTTATGAGACTAACTATTATAATCTTTACCTTACGTAAATAATAGCTATTATTAATTAAAATATAATTATAAATATCGTATTTACCCTTCTATTATTAGAGATTAAAGATAGCTACTATTAGATACTTATATTATTTAATGAGATTTAAGAAGAGTAAAATAATATTCACGCCCCTTTAATTATTATTACGAATATAAAGCTTATATTAAAAAACGCGGTAAAGGCTATTTTCCTAAACTATTAATAGTAGCTCTATTATTTTTATTTATTTACTACTATTTAAGCTTAAATTAAACGGGATTAGTAAGGTAATAGGCTACGAATTACAAATAATAAGAAATATAATACCTTTAAAAATAACCCTATAAGCCTATTTAAGGTATTTAAGCGGCTTATAACTACTAACTAATATAATAACTTTATTAATATTTAAGGAAGAATAAAGAATACGTATTATAAGCATTAAGGCGCTATTATTTAATATATATTTTAATAGTAGTTTAGTTAAAGGGAGTAATAGGCTCTTTACTTTCTTTTAAATTATTAGCATTTTAATTAGCTAACTAATAATCTAATAGAATTATTATATTATAATACTAAAAGCTACCTAATTACAGGTATAAGTAACCTTTATATAATGCTTTAAGAGCTCTAATAAATAGTAATAGCTTTACATTAAAATTATTCTAAAAAAATAGCTTAATTAAAGGTTAAGTAATAGATTAAATATATTAAAAGGGAGTGCTTTAATAAGCTTCCCTATTAAATATTCTTTTAAGCTATAGATTTAATTAATTAATAACACTAACTTACTTAAGTAGCTTAAAGAGGTATAATATAGCTTTATTCTTATAAATAACCCTATAGATTTTAATAATAATATAGCCTCTCTTATACCTATATTATACTTAATTATTAAAGCTATAATTAAGAGCTTAATAAGACTATTATTTATTCTTACTAGTAGCTTTAAAAGCCTTTAATAAGTTATTAGTTAAATTTAAAAGAAAATAATATAAAAATTATACCTAATATTAACCTTTAAGATATTAATAACCTAACCCTTTAAATTCTAAACCCTATTAAGATTAGCCGCGTACGCGAAGCTTAAAATAATTAAATTAACTTTTAATAACACGATTTAATAATAATTTAATTATTATAAGTAACCTAATTACCTTAATTAATTAAATTACCTTTATAACTATAATTATAGCGCTTAAATTAATAGGGCTTATAATAGCTTAATTCTAGCATTTAAAGAACCCTTATATAGGCTAAAATTAAAGGGTAATTATAGCTAAGAATATAAAGTAATAATAGAGGTAACTTACAGTTATTAATTCGTTTTAAAAATACTATAATTAATAGAGTAATAAGATTAATAAACGTATTAATTATTAAAAGTAACCTATTATAAGCGTTAATTATAAAGGAGAAAATTATTGTCGCGATAACCCCTTAAATAACTTAGATTAATAGCTGGCCTAATAGAATATATATATTTTAAATAAACTACTAGAAATCGCGTTTTTAAATAAATTAGGCTCTTTTAATGTTACCGCCGCTTAATACCATTAAATTTTAAACCTATTACTAAGCGCGTTTTTTAAAAATAACACGTTACTATTTTTTTGTGTGTGAAACACACCAAGAGGTGTGGGTTGTGGACTCCCCGACCAAATCGGGCTAGTCATATGCATATAGCGCTCATGCATACAGCTCCCAATAGATGGACTCTATTCAACGGCTGGCCCGTCACCAGGTGCTGTGAGCTTTTCCTCTGCTCCAGCTCCATGCCATGGCCCTTGTAGTTTCCACTCATGATTCCTCCAGGGGCCCAGGGTACTTTCCTGCCTCTTCTCTTGCCCCAGAATCGGCCAATCGCGGGCGCAACTGCGATTGGGAAGGATCGGCATCAAATTACTGTTATGCGCAACCAAAGGGTATCATGGTGTTGAAACGATCTGGCGAATGCGGGACGTGTTCGACGCGTGGGTAGTGAAAGCAGGATCGTAGAGTTGACGTCTGTCCGAGAGTTGATGATGGCCAGGATGGAGACGGCCCATCTCTTGGGGTGCTCGCCCGGAGTAGATTGTCGATGATGCAAGCTCAAGCGATGGCGTGGCCAAGGGCGAACATAACGCAAGACCAGGCATGACCGGGGCACACTGCACGGAGCAGGCAGCGAGGGCGAATGGTATCAATTGCTTCGAAGCCAACATGTCATTGATGATGGTGGTGATGCAGTGCGCTCTAAGCAGCCGTGTTTGGCTCTCCAGGTGTTGGTTCGGAGCGCAAGCCGGACGTCATCAAGATCCAATGCGGTCCATTTCACCGTAAGCCCAGGGACGCACGGTTGCCACACGATGTCAATAAAATCATCTCGAACCAGATGGAGCCCAGCCTGTCCATGCTTCAGCACAATTCTGGCACCAGTTGGTGCTTCACCAACACTTGACGCGTTAAACTCTGCGCCTCTACCGGGCCGTCTCACATGCACTTGCACATGTTCCAATTTCGAGACACCGAGCAGACTGCTAATTGAGAATCTTGGGCAACCTCCGACCGATTCGAAAACCTGCAAACGAATCATCCATCACGCACATACGAATCAGTCAAGCCCCAGTTCTCATGGACGGCTTGTAACTTTCGACACCATGGCCAGCTTGCCGCATTCGGTGAGTGGCATGTTGGGAGATTTACTCTCCTCCTGATTGAGGTGGTTGCATCGAAATAGGGTGATTCGACCAGCCCCAAGTGGATGAAGCCCCATTTCGCTTTTATGGAAGCGTTTTCGGAGAGGTTCTCTGTCAACTTTGGGTTCCGTTGTCGCGGGTAATGACCAACACCAGCAATGAATAGCCTTGTTGAGAACGCATGTCAACGAAGGGCCGATTGTCGAGGTGACTTGAGGTGACGAGTCACAGCCAAGAGACGGGATGCACAAACCCAAACGGTCCCCAGATTCCAGCAGGGTAAAACGACAGAACTAGTTACATCAGATTGTTCTCCATCTGGAAGCCAGCTGCATTCCTCCTCGCCCTGGTGGCGAGCAAGACTGAGTGGATGAAAGGCCAATGCCATATGGTCCGTACGGAGTACAGCGAAAAACATCACGCACTCGTCTGCATGCGCCCCCAGTTTCGTTTCGGTGGTGGCCCGACGCTGCCGACACCGATTCCATTGTCACCTCCTAGTTCAGGTCCAATCCGCACTTTCGGTCTCCTTGCCCGGACATACATAACCTGCGGGACGTGCGCAAGACCTGACCTGAAAGTTACTAGTGGCCAATCCCCAGAAGATGTACGGAGTAGCCAACTGACAAGATTCTGGGGTATTGGGCCTCGCTACGGAGTACTTATTCGCCTCTCCACGCGACTAGACAAGCGCTGAGATCCCACAAGAGAACGTTTCATTACATACATATGGAGTAGTCCAAACACCTTGAAGATTCTTCTCTCTGCAATAACATGCAAACCCTGTCTACGACAGATAATCTGACGTGTACACCAGTAATACAGTATGGAAAACATGATTGTCTGGAAGAACTCCACAGCATTGGTTCCAGCCTCTGCCATGCCAGCAATGGCCTCGACTTAAACTGCGGACTACACGGGCCTCAACTGTCCATATCGGAAGAAGGGATGGCGCTAGCTGGCCAGAATAGCTCATTCATCTCAAAATGTCACCACCGCTAGTAATTAAAGTGTCTGATAACTACTACGCTGTGCAAGACGAGTAAATGCGGCACAATATCCGCAAGTCATGTCTGCTGAAGTTGCCGAGATTGCCCCCTGCTTTGCCTCATACGAACAACTGCGGTTTAAAAGAACAGGCACCCATGTGCGGTCGTCGATACTTGCTTATGCTACCACCATAGTAGGATTCTTCAGTCAAGCTACTACACATACCGCACACCCTGCATCTCGGCCGTCGCGCGACATTTCCTGGGCCTCGAATCGTGGCAAACCTGAATCAGAACTAGTGGCGTATCTAGTTTTATGCGTCTTGTTGCAAGCCACCAACGCTCTCTGGCATCGCTCGGCTCTGGCTTACATGCGAATGTGTCTCCAACAAGCCCGGCATAGTCCAATCTGCTCTGGGCCGCCTCGTATTTTTTCTTGTCCATGCTACCAGTTGTCTGTTGCTCTGCTCTCTTTATGATGGCTTTTTTTTTTCTATTCTTTTCTGCCAGTTTTGGGCTTCCGCCCAGAACAATCGATTCGAAGCCGATACTGGCACACCCCAAAGGCTCCGTCCTTGTGCGTTGTTAGTTCCAGTAGTAACGGCTCGCCGTCGGCCGCGTGAGCAATGTCACCAAAGACCTTGGCAGTTCACAAGTTCTGCTGCGGATCCCCCGAGGCAGACATTGGGCCATTTGACAAGGATGTTCCAGTGTCCAAAGCTTTTTTTTTTTTTTTTTTTTTTTTTTTTTTTTTTTTTTTTTTTTTTTTTTTTTTTTTTTTTTTTTTTTTTTTAAATTCGGTCAACTAGTACTAGTAGCCCCCAAACGTGACAACAGGCAGCTGCAAGCAAGGAAGGAAGGAACGGCTGGACCGCATCGTCATCTCTTGTCGCCAAAAATGAGCCACGCAGCAGAGCCGAAAAGGAGATCTGGAAGCGAGATGAAGGGGCGCCGACAAGCTTCTCTCCAAGCCACCACGATTGTCCTGCCGCCGTCCCTTGAAGAGCGCTCAAGTTTGCCACGACGCAGAAAGCTTGTCCACTCCTCGGACGCAGGAGGGCTGCCATCCCGTACCTGAATTACTCCGTACTGGGCCATGTTGATTCCACGGCAAGGGTTGAAGCAATTGACGACATTGATTGGCAGGGCGATTTAGTTTCGGAACCATCCGAGCCACCAACGGCAAAGCTTGAATCAAACCAGCAGCTGAGTCGATGAAAAAAAAAGGTACTCTACGATATTTTGCGAAGGTCAAATCCGGGATGTACGGAGTATATGGGCAACACGGCTGTTCACAACATGTACTCTGTACATGTGAAGCTACGTACCTAGGTAGGTATGGCCCACCCAACGTCGCACCGTGTTCTGCTGACTTGTGGGTTTGGCGTGCTTGCAACCCTTGCTGATCTGGGGTTCCTACAAGTCAAGGTCGTGATCAAAGCCTTGAAGAAGAGAAAATGAAAAAACTCGTGATTAGGAAATGGCCCCAGGGTTAGGGTTCGGGTTTATCGCTACACGTATGCCACTCGTGGTCGCGTCGTGCCGAAGGAAGCCAGATGCTGGGAATGGCGGGAGGGTGACGCGACAGAGTTGACACTGACCATCAGCCTCGCTCGCGAGAGAAAATCTGGTACTCACAGAGCGCCACTTCGTCACTTCTTGCCCCCGTCGCCTGGCGATGGCCTTGCAAAGCGAGTTCGGCACGTATTTGCCGGTGCGGATAGTCCGTTTTACCTCCCGCTCAGAAACGATTGCTTTCACGCGCAAGCTGATGCGGCCCGCGATGGGTGATTGGCTTGCGTCACTGCCAAAGACAAGTCATGCTCTGAGGCTGGAAAGGAGCTGAAGGGGCCGGGTGGCCGAAGGCGCAAAACTACGAGAAGCCACAACGCCAAAGATTGGGTGCCTGAATGTGTGCTGTCTAGCCATGTGAGCTATCAGTCCGTGTACGCGTGCTCTACAATGAGAAGAGCCTGCCAGAGCTTGAGGACGTATTTATACAACGACGGAATATGGAGAGCTACGCTCTGGTCAGGCCATCTCTTAGCCTCAATCAACGCCGCGTACTCCCCAGCGCGACTATCATGATCATCACCTTTGTGTCTACTGCGACGGCTCGCGTCATCTTGCGAGTATACTTCATCGTCTGCATAGCAGCCACTGCGTGGCTTTCCAAGATAGCTCTGCACATATTGGCCAAAATCGTCGTCGCCCGCCGCCGCACGGTTTTTGCCACGAGCGTCATTGGCTCGCTCGACGGCCTCGATCTTGTGCTCACCTCGTTCCGGCTTCGTAGGCTCGCAGGCGGCACCGTGGGCTTCTCCATATTGCTGCTCCTATTTCTCTTGGGAAAGGCGGCTGACGTCCTGACTGCCTACCTTGTCGTCAGCAAGCCCGTAAAGGACCGGTGCTGGTTCGGCCAGGGTCTCGTTTTCAACGACTCCATGCCCGATATTTATTCGCAAGTCAACGGGAGACCGGTAGCCGTGCTGCAGAATGCGCAGGTCTTTGCCGTCAACAACACTTGCCCCTACGGGATATACAAAAAAGTCAACCTCGACCCATCATTCTGCCCGGATGACAGCGACATCATCGGCTCATGGAAGTGCGAGACGACGGCGTCGCTCACTCTTCCGGCGGGGACTTCAAACGTGACCATTATCAACGACTTGGTATCCAAGAAGATGCTGTACACAAACTGGTTCGATGAGTACAGCGACAACACCGGCACAGGATCCAACACTAACCATCTGGTGGCATGGAGCACCTCGGCTGCCGCCAACTCTGACGGGTCAGACTGGGGTGTCCTCGCCGCCGTCCAGAAGAGCTGGGAACCAGACGAGCCGGTGCAGCTTGACGCCCTCAAATGCACCCTGAATGCACCCGGGGCGACAAACACGGCCCGAAGCATGGCCTCCCTTTACGACCTCAGGGTCTGGGCGCCCATGTTTCAGGGCTTGATGTATTGGGGCACCAACACGCCTGCTGTCGGTAACGTGGCCGGTCAGTTGGCCATGCTGCTCAACACCATGATCATGATCTCTGGAGGACGAAACTACCTGCTTGCAACGCCGGGAGCCCGACAAGACCAGACGCAGGGATGCGTCAAGCCCGCGGCGTATGTGCCACCCACCATGATTGCCATATTCCTGTTTGTACTGGCGCTTTTCGTCCTTTCCTTGCTCGCGTTTCTCATCTTGTCCCTTTGGTTTAGAATTCTGAAAGGCAACTTGCCCGAGGGCGACATACGGGAGATCGAGACGGTTCCACAGGATGTGCTGGAGTGGGCGCTGCTCGCGGCGCGCGGGCACTCACTTGGACCTCGCGTGCCGCAACCAGGCGCTGCTGTTCATAACGCCCAAGATGAAGGAAACAATGGAGGGGAGATGGAGGAATTGGGCCCTGCGAATCATGGTGAGAACGACTTGGCGGCTGTAAACGGCGCCAACATGGACCTGCCACTGATTCAAGAAGGCCCTGGGGCGCCTGTGGCTGGCGATCCGGGCGGCGCGGGCGATGGAGCTGGTGTTATGTTGATAGAGGCGAGAGAACTAGGAGAGTTTCGAATCGGCTTTGAACGAGTTGATGGCGAGGGTAGGACAGTCGGGATATTTAGGCGCGCTGGCTGGTAAGAAAAAAGGCGGGGGTGCAATTTTCAAGACCCAAGTCATGATGGATGAAGTTTGGATGGGATATCAGACAGCAAGAGCTCGGCCCGGGGACTCGATAGCAGATGGTGTGACAAAAGCAGACCGCCTGTTGATACTCCCTGAGGATGGGCGAGGGCGATGTGAACCATCATGAAGCAGTTGAGGCGGCGCAAGCCTCACAACGTCGCGGCTGTACTTGTTCATTGCGAAGTCGATTCTAGGTGGCTAACGTGAGCCTTTCGACCAACCGTCGGCGGGAATGTTGGATTAGTTGCAAGAACCATGGAGCACTTGGGTAGTCTCGCCTGGATTTATGTGTCTCTGCAGATAACTTTGCAGCATTTGGATATCGCCCGTTTTAGATATCTATGCCATCCTACGCAAATCGTCCATGACGCAATCGATATGGTTTCCATTGTGTGTCATTGGTAGACTCCCTTGAGTTGGTATAGAAACACTGAACGAGCGCGCGGCACGAGTCCAGTTCTTTCTGTATCGGGACGGGGGATTACCAATTCCTATGAAGTCGACCCGCGCTATAAGCGAGTTGCGGTATTGATATGATGGCTCGCCGCTCAGAGTGTACCTACGCTGATGGTGGCCACAAATGCAGCATGCTGCCTCCAAAGTATGGGTATTTCATATTAGACAGGAGATAGGTAATCGAGTTCGGAATGCTCCCTCGTGCGATTGTGCGATCTGGTCAAGCGCCCTGATGATACCAGCGGTCGATAGTCCCGTCTAGTAACCAGTACCCCATTGGAAAAATAGCCACGGCGATACGCACGGATGGTGTTTTCCGTATATTACGCTGCATTTTTGATGATGGGGCAACTTAACTCCCGTCCAGGATTCAGTTCCTGCGCTGCTCAGCATATGAGTCTGAAAACTCGCGGACCGCACCCCCCGTTTTACATCCCCATCTGTCATGACATGGTTATGGGCCCGGCCATCCTCAAGGAATTCGGCCAATATATTGTAAACACTGCGGTGTATGCGAATGAGTCCGCCTCTTTTAGGCAATCTATTACGCTAGTATATAGATGTTCACTTTAAGACCTGAAATGCGATAGCAGCTATGTATAGCAAGCTAAAACTAGCCTATATAGTAGCAACTTTAGCTATAGGCTTAGAAAAATGCAGGCCCTAATGCTTCAACAAGCCAAGATACATACATACACCATTTGATAAGATTAGACTTGGACCCAATGGATCCTGCTATAGACATGGCCGTAGCTTGATGTGCACACGGGCTGGAGTCAAGATCAACCGACACCACATCGACGACTTATTCCGAATCTCCCACTCGACGGGGACTAGGCGTCGTTTAGATTCTTAGCCAATATGGGACGAGATGGAGCTGACGGCAGACCGACACACTATACCAGGGAATGCAACCCATATGAGCCTTGGTGCCAATAGCGGCAGCAGAAGCAGCAGCAACACCACCGTCCCCCAAATCGAAGTCGTCGACATCGTCATCACACAACCGGCTCAGCCGGGTAAGTCTCTATGAGGCCTATAGCGGTGTTTGAAATGGTCCCTCCCGCAACCTCATGGACTGCTTTTGAACCGTAATACTTCTAGTCGATAATTACAACGCCTCCTGGCGACGTATCTGACAAGGTATCCTACGAGGCATATTGTAGAACACACATATGGCCCGAGTAAAGTAGCCTTCATGTTGATATATTCTACCATTCACGAATCTGTCTTTGTGTACACACCCCGAACTCATCGACAGCCAGGGGCACATGGCTCCTATTCCACTCCCTCGGCATTTTCAATTGCTCAACAAGCATCGTCCTCATTCTCATTCTTTGGCTGGCTGCGGCGCTCACAGCTCTCCTGTTCATTATTGTTATTATTCACGAGCAAATTTGGCGCGCCACGAAGGTCACCCTTGATCATGTCCTTGGTGGCAGTCTGTCCCAGATAAAACTTGACTTCATTGCTCAACTTGGAGAAGACGGCCATGGCGTTTAGTGCCAGGGCAGCAACATGGGGCGCAGCCATTGAAGTGCCCGACATGGTTTCGGTACCATAGTCGCTCTTACTAGAAAGCGAGGTGACCCCATCTCCAGGAGCCAAGATATCGACCTTTCTCCCGTAATTAGACCACTTTACAACGTTCCAAGATGAATCGATGGCCCCCACGGTTAAAGCGTCATTCGACGAAGCGGGTGAGCAGGTGGAAGCATCGGCACCCTCATTGCCGGAGGCGGCTACAACAAGAATACTGGCCAAGCCTTTACCGCTCGCGTCCCGGCGCTTATACGCCCTCTGAATTATGGTGTTCATGGCCGTGGAGCACTCCGCCCCCACCGACATGTTAATGACGGCATTATTGTGGCGGTTCTTTTTTGCGATATCGGAGATGGCCTGCTCTAGGCCCTTTATGATTGTCGACGTTGGCGCCCGGTCCTCCTTGTCGAGGACCCTGACAGAAACCACCCGGGCAGTTTTGGCCACACCATATGTCTTGGCGGCAATGGTTCCAGCAACATGAGTGCCGTGACCACTCTTATCCTCAAAATCGTCCTTGCCATCTCTCGTTTTCAAGGCAGTCCAAAGGTTCTCAGCCCGACCCTCAAACTCTTTGTGTGAAATTCGAACACCTGAATCAACAACATACGCATAGTACGTCTTGTCGCTGGGCCAGGATTGATAGTAGTACTTGAAGTTGCGGAAAAAATTGACCATCGGAAACCTAGGACTAGACCGATGGGAGATTGTTCGGAGATTCCAAGGTGCCTTGTGCTGGGTTTGGACCTCGGCCGTCGGCGTCGGACTGGCTGAAGCCAGCCCGAGAAGCACAGCGAGGGCCGTCGAGCCTTTCATGTTGCAAGTAATAAGCAAGTAATGACTTTGTAAACGATTGACAACGATTTGGTAATATGTTCAACCAATGACTTTGTTCATGGCTGATGCAGCTGGTGGTACGGCTATACTAGGACGGGCTGGCCGCCCTTATATAAGAGAGCTGGGCATACAAGGCTAGAGACATGCTGTCCTCCATGCTTGCGCGTCTTTCAGCTAGAATGTGCGCCAAGAGGGCTTGGTTTCTTGAAAACTGAATACTTGGACCATGCGATTATGCGCATGTTTATGAGTCAGATATACGAGCCTGGTACATACGTCTTGGGGAGAGCCGTTCTTACTCTGCAAGAACTAAACTACCAGTCGTTTACAGAACACCATTAAGGGGGGCCGGCCTCCCCGTGGAATGAGACCATGCGTCCTGTCGCTATGGTAAAGTCTGGGAGGGCGACACGCGGGCCGGCCGTAACTACAGCGTGAAATAGTGGAATAGTCCTAGTTGAGCTCGTAACGCACCGGATCAGGCCAGTGTGTCGAATGTGCCAAGAAGGCTGTATACACGTCTACTAACCAAATCCAGTTAAATGACTGGTATCCACACTCTTTGATATGTTTTTTCACGTAACACCCTGGTAATAAGCTGGCTTTAATAAACGCGTCAATGATATATTTTAGCTCTCAAATTAACGAGATGAATGTATTTGAAAATATTTAAAATTTTAAATTATTATTATATCAAAACAG